AGCTCATTCAAATGTGCAGGGCCATTTTGTGATTGTTTTTTTCGGCATTGGAGATTCATGCTTTCTCATTGCCAGTTTGCCATCTTACAGAAGTTCACAGCTGAGACTCAGGCAAGGTAGTAGGCTCCGTCGTTGCAAAGAAAAACAATGCCTGATGGAAGCTGTCCAAGGAATGAGTAGACAGACTTTTGCCTGCTAGTTTTACATCTTGGAACACATGCGATGTTTCTGAATGGAGTTAACTCCCTGGGAAAATAGTCAGACTTTTAAATAACTAATATTGATTTTAACATTTTATTTATTTTACAGCAAGAAAGTAAATGCAGGCTATCGGAGTGCTTATGTGAAATTAAAGACAGCACAGTGTACATTTTCATGGAGAGGATCTGAGCATGAGATGAAGAGGCAATGATAGAACATATATATTCAGAAATTTTCTCAATACGTAGCTACTGTGCATAGTATTTGCAAAATAAAGAGTGACAAGCCTTTTCCCTTACTTGTACTGATTGTTCATTCTAGAAACTCTTTTCCAAGTTAAGTGAATAAATAAAATTATTATATGAGTATCCGAATATAAATTCGATTATCCACCCCTAACACATCTACGTGTTGTGAGGAAACCTATACTGGACTAAAAAGAACTGCAAAGCATAATGTTGCTCTTCATTAATTATCCTCAATGGAAACTTGTAAACAAGGAACGATATTTCATACTCCTACTATGAAAAACGGGGAAGCAGCAAATGTGTGATGATGCTATCAATCTTTTGATTGTGAATCCAGACTGTTGGACAAAAATAATCCTTTAGGATCACTAATCCTTAAGATACACATCCCTTAACCAGAAAATAATCCATTTTAATTACACTGTAAATATTCTCTTGGACATACAGTATCTGCTTCAGGAGCTATTCCTACTAAGGGAATCTTTCATAGCCATTAGGGTGATTTCCCTGAAACTCTTCTGTGAAAAAAAGTGTGGCGCTAAAAGCAGGCAGAGGTCAGAAGATTCAGAGGCTGATGTCATGAAGACAGAATGATAGCAATGTCCTTGACGACAGCAGGCTATAATGGTCTTGACAACATGCAGGAATGAGCTGTCATGTGAGCTAATAGTGTGCCAACAGGGAGAGCCCTTTGGAAAAGCTGATTGCTCACTGAAAGCAATGATGTGTCTCAGCTGAGAAAACCTTGAACGAAGGAAATTCCCTTTTTTGCAGAGCACCTGTGGTGCACAGTGTCATGGTTCTGGGTGATCGTGCCTTTGCATAGTTGGGTTGTTCCTTGTGAAAAGCAAAAGCTGGCATCATCAATTTTCAATGGTAAAAATGGCTGCAGAGTAAATATTAGCTACAACTGAATTCCTATTCATGAGCCACAGACACCACACCACGAACCTTACATGGTCTGAACTCCCTACACAATTGGTTTAGAAATGTGCTTTTTGTGTCACATTGAAGCTGTCAAATAGAACTGTATTGTGATTTCATTAAATTTTCAGTGTAATGTACAATAAGAAAGCTGTATAATTCTGTGACCTTTGACCTTCACATACAATAGTTTGCCTGTTCACACAAATTGAAACTGAATGGCTGATTTTGCCTATGATTGTTAAGTACACATGTCAGAAAAAGCATAATGCAGAATTTATGCCTTAACCTCTTTCAAAGTAAGGAGCGTTTTGAAGTCTAGACGTGTCTCAAAGTGTCCTAGTAAAGAGGAGTCATGTGGTCAGAGTGTCATTAGGGTGGAGATACAAGATGATGCAGGATAATTCACTCTATCTCTTACCAAAACAGTGATTTCTCAAATGGACATCTGCAGGCTTGCAAAGACACACCACTCCTTTATTTGGCACCAGGTCTCCTGGAAACACGGTGAAGTTTGCAGCGTGACAAAAGGTAAATGCTTCTGGCAGGTGGGCATGTCAAAGGAGTACAGCATGTCTGCCCATCCTCACTCTGCCCTTGCATTACTGCTGCTGGAAATCCAACTCAAAAACAGCTGGCATTTCCCAATTCAGTAAGTCCAAAACTGGTGTTTCCTTTTTAAAAAAATGGGGGAAAAAGTACTGCAAGTTCTCTCAGAAGTCTGGTAGGCTACAGCAAACACTGGGTGTGGTTTAATCTGTGTGCTCAGTGGCCACAATCATTACCTGAACCATAAATCCAGGTCACATTCCTCATCCTCTTCGCGTATTTAACATTCAGCTCTATTAATACCTGAAGTGATGATGGGAAGGTGTTGCTTTGAGAAGTGCAAGAGAATCTGTGCTAAACCTCTCGTTAAGAGCTTATTTGCTGTGTGCGGAGTAACTACATTCTAATTAGTTTCAGGGGGGTGTTAATAAGTGTTAGTCACAGTGTTTAAGATATCTGTAGCTCTCAGGAGTGCCAAAGGAAATGACAGATCATGCCTTTTTTTCCTTCTTGCACACCTTGTTTGCAGCTGTTTGTGTGAAATGTTGAAAGTACTCACTCTTGGCAAAGTTTTTTGTCACATGAATTAGTAAGACTCATGTGAGAGATCTTTTTTTTGCTTTTCTCCAGTGTTCTTTCAGGAATGGTTTAAACATTCATTAAGATGTATGTATTCTGAACTAGTGTCCAGTAACATTCAATCTCTTCTGGAAGGCTTTTTTTCTTTATAGTAAGTGGAAATTAAATAAAATGGGCCCAGGCCAAGTGATTTTCCCTTGGGACTATTGCTCTTCTCGTTTATGGAGTCATGCAAATTGACTTTTTTTTTTGACCATTCTAAATTCTAAAATTGATTTTGATTGCCATGGATAATTCACGGCTTCCATGCACTGAACCTTTCCACGCAGTTTCGGGATGTGTAAACATTCAATGACACTGTTTAAAATGGTTATTTTGATTAATATAATTAGCTGTAATGGCCACCATTTTACAATGTCATTAAATTCCGATGTCACATATGGAACTGATTAGACAGGGCAGTGTTTTTGATTGCCTGATTTTTTACCTAACTTGGTGTTTCGGTATCAGCTCACCTTGACATATTCCAGATATTGGTATTACATTATGATTCTCAGCCCGAGCACCATCAACACTGAACATGGGAACAAAAGAGCATACCAACATTTACAATCAAATGGGAGAGTTTTTATTATAAAGACATCCTAAAGGGTGACTTTGCCAAGTCGAGGTCAAGCCTTTTAGGATATGGAATGCTTGACTCAGGTCATCGCTATAATCTTTTCTCTTCAAGACATAAAGGATACAATTCTTTTATCTTGTTTGTATAGCACATTCCTTTGAGTCTTCGAGTGTATTCTCTCTAATAGTCCAGAACAGCAGTTATGACCAAAATTGCACACAATATTCCAAACGAGTTCTTAACTAGTCTGCTGTACAATCTTAATTATACGTCCCAACACTCTGTCACATAGTGTAGAAGATGTACATGATGTGTCATCACAAACTGCAACTGTTTTTCATTAATAATTTCTTCAAGCTCACGTTTTTCATCTTATATTGATAGTTTATGTTTCCGCTATCTTAATGCAACACTGCAGTTGTCTACATTAAATGTCAACTGCCAACTGTTTGCCTAGTCCCTAATGTGGTCTAAGTCTGAATTTCTTTTACAGCTTGTACAAATATTGCTAATCCTCCTAGTTACTATATCATCTGTGAATGACACTAGACTACTAGCTATTTCAGAATCTAGATCTTTGTCATGAATCAGGAAGAGAAGTGATACTTATACATTCTACATCTCTTATTTAATACAAATCATTGTGATTCTCCACTAATTAAATCACCTAAATTTTAACATTTACCCCTTATTTGTACCCTCCATTTCCTGTCTATGTATAATCATTGTCTTGAATCCCTATTGCCTGTACTGGCTTACTTAAGTTGTTGCTTTATTGGATGCTCAGTACTATGTAATGTTGCACTGTAGTATCTGGGATTGACATAATAACCGATCCACCATAACCCACTGAATGACTGTACAGGCATTGAGCATACAGTGCTTCATTATTATGATGCTTCATGAGGTGAAGCTGTGTAGAAACAATAATACACACTTAGATTTCCAGTATGAATCACTGTAACCCATAACACAAGATGCAAAGTGAAGTTAAACTCATGATGCAAACTTACTGACCCCTTACATTAGTTGAGTCATTTCTGGTATTTAGATTTACAGGGTCTTTATAAGTAGCACTCTTGTGGCTTGGGTTTTCTGTTTCCTAAGTACATTTGAACAATATTGGGGTATACAGTATGTTATATTACTTGTGATTGAAGAGTTTGCTCATTTGACAACAACAACTTCACAGACCCAGATTATGATGTTATGATCAGAGAATTGCTTTTATGGATTTATTGATTCATGAAAGTGCATTTACAGTATGTAATTCTTTAAGCATCAATAGGGACATTATATTAGACAAATAATTACTACTTGCAAAAATATATAATCTAACTGTTTGCCACCTCTCACCAAGCAAACTCATTAATCACAGGCTGGGAGTTAACAACAACAGGCAAAGCAGACTAATTTGCCAGGGCCTGCCTGTTTGTGTGTCTCGGGAAGCTAGGAAATGAAGCTGTAAAAAGTACTAGTGGATGAACACACCGCCACTTGCTACAGAGGGGGCAGCCTGCTTGGAATCCAAAGGGTTTCCATGCAAAAACAAGGAAAAGCATTTCCTAGATGCCACTGCTATTTTTATGTGGTCAAAAAACAACATGATAAGGTTATAAGGTTGTGTTGTTTTTTTTCCTCAGTGAGTTTTTTTCTGCAGTCTAGAAATTCTTGATGCAAACCATCTGTTTTATTTTGGCATTCAAGATCCAATGATGAGCAAATGTTATGAAGCAGTCCAGTGAAGAGGAATTACAACAGCTTTGATCACACCCTAGGCCAACAGGACCTCTCTCAGTTGACGTTCTAGCAGTAGTCAGGGATCGCCAAACCTGTACAATCTTCTGTTTAGTCAATATTGTCTTTTCTGTATGCAGGCTGTGGAAATAGCTCAGTGAGCTTTGATATGTTCAGCTGTGGTTACGGCTCCATCACCAACATCGACTACTCAGCCGTCTGCATTGAGACCATGGCAGCGAGACATGCTGACTGCCCAGGGATGGAGTGGTTACAAATGGACGCCCGCAATCTGGCATTTCCTGAAGGTGCCTTTGATGTGGTTTTAGAGAAAGGTACACTGGACGCCATGATGGTGGAAGAGAAGGACCCATGGAAGGTGTCTCCTCACACTGCCAGCTTGGTTCATCAGGTCTTAAAAGAGGTAAGCAAGGCTTTCATACAGTACATGTGCCGTTTTGAGTTATTTGGTGTATCACAGCTTATTGTAACGCTAAATAGATATATATAACTTCTGGTTATTCCATGAATGGTGTATGGAAGTAGATCTAGGCAGAATATAGGATACCACCCTATGGGAAAGCAAAATTGGATTCAGTGTTTCAAAGGTGTGCAGAAGAAGCGTTTGAGGATTTCTTCACCTCACCTTTCCAGAGTTTCTTTCAAAACAGCTCTGTTTAGATTTCATGGCCTTGCTACTGTATATCGATTGTATGCAGTGTCTAATTTTTCCTGTGTCTAACAGGGTCAGCCTGGTCAGAGTTCAGTAATAGGTCACATGTTCTACTTGAATATGTTCATCGGGGACAAAGTGAGTTCTGTAATGGAAAAGTATGTTTAACCCCATTTCCATAGGTGAAGGTTTATTGCCACTGAAGTGAACATCAATCACAAGATCAATAAATTGATGCACAAAATAAATAAAATCTTTGGGAAGAAATGACATTCTGAAATGCAAGACCTCTTGTATGTATATCAATAAACAAATCAGGGTGCACGTCTTAGCTTATGGATTCTAGGCTCTGCATTAATCCATTTCATAATGACAGTATACGAGGTGAACATTCACATACGTTTAGCTCTTTATATCAAAATGTCTTTTAAATCCATGATGCAAAACAATGGTTTTTAGCTCATAAGCCCTGTGTATTAAATTTACCATTTTTAAAGTATTGACACACTTTTTTGAGTAAACTTATATATATATTAAAATCTTGGAAGGTAATGCATAGTTTATTAAACTATACTTTTTATCTGTGAATTATTTTCAAGATTTACTGAACACTAATTCAACCAAAAAGATCATATAAAAAAGTTATGTATGCGGGAATTGCAGCCTTGAGTGTAAATATAAGCAGCCGTAGTAACCCCTTTTATAAAATTAATGAATTGATAGCCTTATCCTTTCTGGTATGTGTTGTGCATGTTTCGGTCAAGTGGTTTATGCGTTTACAGTATAGTGGTTTACCACTGCAACACTGCTATTGCTTATATTGAGCCTTCAGTAGCCTCTCTACATACAGTACAAATGATCATATTTTAGTAATGGTCCATTGAGGTAAAATTAGTGTAAAGACAAGAGCTAGGTCAAAGAAGATTAAAACATCATACTTCCAGTTTTGATGGGTATATTTACTCTGCCTGACTCAGAGCTATTTTCCGATACACCTCCACACGCCTCTTCACTTGCACTTTTTGACAGGGAGTTAAATCAATCCCATTGGCGTGCTCTCCTGACAGGGTGTCTCCCAAGAGAAGGTCCGATATTTTCCACTTTGTCTGACTGGTCCTACTGAAAGATCGTTTGGGTATTTATGACAGAGTTGACAAGCACCAGGTAAAAACCTCATGGGGGACACAAGTAGCTATCCTCTTGAAAATATGAATATCCCTAAGTATCTGCTCCTTTGCTCTGACTTTGGGTTGAGGCCTCAGTTTGGTCTCCAAGTCATACAGTACACTTATTTTCTATATACGCTATGATTAAGAACATCTTGGAAAGGAGGAACAGCCCTATATTTTCTCAAAATTGTTTCATGAATTAATTTAGAAAAATATAAGTAGAAGCAGAGCACTTAAAAAAATAATTTATAAGGAACATCCATCCCTCCATTGATTTTTCAATAATTACTTGGTCTAATACTGTGTTTTGGTGAGATCACAATGCTTGTCATATTGTAGAGGAACAAAGACAGATAAAATCTGAACAAAACTTAGGTAAAGTCCCCTCGTTGTGCTCTAACATGACAGAACCATTATGTTCAAAGATTGAGAGATATAAACACAGTGTCGATGTGGATTGCCATTCCTGCCAGCATTCCTGTGTCTGGAATTCTGTGTATAATTTGTGAATGTCAGGAACTGTACTAAGTGTCATATAGTCCACCTGCTCTGAGCAGATCTGTACTCGGAGAACACAAGTCTGCTTTAATTGTGGATTGACATTTATATATTTGGGCACAAGGGATGATTCACTGTTTGTTCAAGTTCACTTAAAGGAAAGATGTAAAGTCACAAAGGATATAGGAGTTGTTTGTTTTGTTTTGTGAATCCCAGCTCCAAACGTTGTCCTTCTGCTCCTATGCTCCCTCAGGTGTACTGTGAAAACAAGTGGATTACTGCTCATCTGCTATGGCAAAATCACCAAATAAACATGAAAGTCTGTCATAGAGACATACAATGATAGAAAACAGTCCTTCATTTCAGCTTTTCCTTTGACCATGTATGGCTGAGAGTTTATGCAATCTCTGTTGAGGCAGACAGACATCTATGACATATAAATTGAACTAAGCATTGTCATCTTTCAAAAGAAGATTTTTTTTCTGAATTTTCATTTTGAACAATGGCATAGAAAAAGACTTGCTTGTGAATTGCTCATTTTGGCACTATTGACAGGATGCCTCAGAGTATTCTGAACAAGCCATAATAATGCCTCAGTCACTCCCTCGCCATCACAAAAAAAAGAAATAAAACTAAAGTTGATTTAATGATGTAAATGTTTATATTCTTAGATGTCTGCCCTGGAAACGTTTTAATTCATGCTGCATCTTGTGTGTTCCCCAGAGCTGAAGGGAGGCTATAAAGTCCCATTTAGCCATACTTTCAGATGTTTCTATCTAGAAGTCAACTTCAGTGCTCCCTTTGACCTTTTCTGTCAGGCAGACTTGGACCCTTTTGGCAAGTGAGAACACAAGAGTGATTGTGGCCCAGTGATAAACTAAAATTGAGGATACAGGAAAGTCCATCACCATATCCATCGTCATATTTTTATTTTAAAAAATCAAATTGGCTGCCATGGTGGTGCAGTGGTGAGTGTTACGTAGCAGTTCCTTCAGGGCCCTATGCGGACGACACGATCCAGAATAGTGAAGATACACTAGGGAAAAAGGCATGCGGGAGAGGGTCTGGAGACAGGGGGGCGTCTCCATGCAGTGCTGGTGTCCAGGGGGAGTGAATCCAGGCGAACAATCCATGTAGGAAATCCAAACGGGAAATCTGAAGCAAGGGCTGAAGTCCATAGCCAGGCGATCCATCCGGTGGGTTAAAACACGAACTGGGTCGGAACCGGCGAGGGCAACCAGGAACTAGGAACTAGGAACAGAAAGTTAAAAGCATACGGAGCCAGACGCAGCAAGACCCCGGGCTCTCATGATGTGGAAATCAATGAGGAACCAGGAGTGAGGTCCGCATCTGGCATTTAAGGGGGAACGGGAATAGGGAACAGGTGCAGACAATGGGCAGGAGCAAGGAAGGGCTGGACCGCCCTTAAGAGGAGGGGTTAGCGATCGTGACAGTGAGCAGTACTGCCTTGCCTTCTGAGTGGCGTTTGTGTGTTCTCTCTGCATTTGCATGGGTTTCCTCCCACAGTTCAGACATACTGGTACTGTAGGTACAGTAAATTGGCCTTTAGGAAAATTGGTCTTGGAGTGTGCGTGTGCATGTGTCTACCCAGCGATGGACTGGGGTCCTGGCCAGGGTGAATCCTGCCTGCTTTCACACATAGGCTCTGGCTCCCTCACGACGCTGTGCTGCACGAAGTTGGTTAGAAAGTAGATGGGTGGATGGGATTCAGTACTCATTTGATATGCTCCAGGTGCAATTCCTCATAGGAGAGTTAGCACCATTTAGAGCAGCAGGGTTTCTGCTGACATGCCCGCAGTCTTACTTGTCATGATTGCATGGCAAAGCACCCTCGAGCCCACCCAACCCCAGTGATGCTGAACTAATTCTCTTCTGGCACTTTGAAAACCCAGGTGAGAGGTTTGGGACTCTAGGTTTAGAGGTTTGATCACGTATTTCAGTTTGTTGTTGGACAAGCTTGAAGGTCTGAGTTGAGAAAAAGCATAAAACTATCCAGTGGCAGTTGACTCCAACTTATGTAGTTTCTAGACACTTTAAAAGCCTTATTAATGTACTTTTTAAAGTACATTAAAATAATTGTGTTGGCTTTCACAGTGTGGTCTGGTAAGTAAGCCAATACAACATAAAGGGTTTGTTTAAAAAATAAAGCTGTGAGAGAAAATCTAACTATTTTCCTTTGGAAATATGTATACTGATTTAAGTACTTTCCTGAACTAATTAATGCCACAACACTGTAGGAAGACTATCATATCATTATAATTTTTGTATGAGACCTGAAATCTGAAATTTAGTACGATAAGGTAAACCTCCTTTGATTTAACCAAAATTCTGCTTGAAACATTTGCGTCTAGTCTAGGAGACTAGATTTAAAGAGTGATCAGTAAATATGTTGCATGGATATAGATAATATAATATACTGTAGAATTGCTCTGGGTTTTGAACCTCTGACAACGTGAACTCAGTCAAGGAGATCTATCTTAATATTCTAAGCAGGTTACTCCAGAATGCCTTGTGAAGCTGCACTGCGATATTTGTTGCTACAGTCTCCTTTCTTTTCAGTCTCCTCAAACTCTCTTTCATTGTTCTGCTGGGCAAGCCCCTTCAAAGTAAGAATGAAATCCCTATCTTGCATCATAATGTGTTTTTTCTTATGCTGTGAATCTATAATCGTTAACCAATATACAATTAAAGTGCTTTTTTCCTTCATGTTTTTAGAAGATCACAAGTGGTATTCTTTGAATATATTACATTGTACGTGTATATAACAAAAAGTGGTCATGATAGAATTGGAAAAAGGTCAGATCCTAGGTTTAATCTTTGTTTCCAAACTCTTGACACAGCTGTAGCATAAAGGAGAAGGGAATTAAGTGAATATATTCTTAGTTTTTGGAAGGTTTTTAAGCTATGTCCTAAATATACATTATTTGATTGTTTAATGTCATTATGTTTAGTTGCCTTGTGATATGCATCCACTCCCTAAGGCTGTGTATTAATTAGAACATACCATATAAAGTACAGAATAATGAAGCTGTCTATAGAATATCTAATGTATCTAAGAGATGA